AAGTAAAGCTCAATACAATTTATTCCAGAAATGTTAAAATCCATAGCATTAGGCTTAACAGGTATCAGAGTGGCCTTTTTTCCCCAAAACAGTTTCCCTATACTACTATATACAACACTTAGATTTCTAGGGCTGGAAGAAACTTTAGTCGCTTTACTAATCTACAGTATTTCTATCATGCTTCCAGTTTACTTCTGGGCAGCTAATGATGCACTAGGTAAGACAATCTGGATTTTTTTCCCTAGAACACAGTCAATTCATTTCTTTAGAAGCCTTTTCTGAAATTCTCAGATTGGAAAAAAAAAATGTGGTCACATTACCAGTCTGCATGACCAGAATAAAGAAGAGGAAAGTGAAGTTACTTTAAAGGTCTTTATAAGTGAATATATCTTAGAGCCTGTATGAGGTTGTGATATAAGCTGGCAAAAGCAGGAAGACACTTATACTTCTTGTTGACAGAAGACTATTCATTAACCACATACTGGTTAACCACAGGGCTATATAACCATAAACCTATGTGTCACTCATTGCTACTTACCAATAATTCTGTTTGTGTGTGTGTGGTTTTTTTTTTTCTGGTTATTCTGTTTCATTTACATTTAGTTTTATTCAGTGCTTTTATCATTTTTATTCATAACTTATACATAACTCACCACCTATGTGTCTAGATCGGAGATACTATTAGCAAAATCTATTTTTTAGATATAACCATTTGGGGGTGGCAATATTAACTAAAAACATATCTCCTTGCTTTTATCTATTATGATAGAGCCAAGATAAACGATACATTTTTATTTTCAGCATACACTTGCATAAGGAGCTTACACACAAGCACATATAGACACACACACATGCACAGATACACAACATACGGCAGACCATAACGGCAGGAATAATAACAGATCAGTCACTGAAGGCCTTATTCATACTCCTACCATTGGAGGTTATGTTAGAGATCAGATTTTCTGATTTTTAAGTAACTGGACCTCCTAACCATCCCAGGAATGCCTACTCTATCATCTCTGCTCTGCTCAGAAGGGACTGGGCGCCTCCAAAACTGGGTCAGATTGCCTGAATGAATCTGTAAAGACGGTAAAGATGAATCAAAACCCCCCAGATGGCATTTGGAAACACTGGCCTAATTCAGATATCCCAATTAGATAAGAAGACAGTTTCATTATGGCCTTTAGTAGCTGGCAGTCATAGTAAGGCAACATATATACCCTTCAGTGGCTAACACGAAGATGTGGGCCCCTCTGGGTTAAGCAGCCACACAACCCTACAGAAAACCACAGGCAAATCAGCTCGGGTCTCCAGCGTGTGCCCCGTTGTGGTCAAACCCGCTGCTCCAGCATGGGCGTGGGAGGCTTCGCTGATGGTAGAGAGGGGGAAGCACGACGTCGATGTCGAGCTGTGCCCCGCGGAGTCTTTCAGTCACTTCAGAGACTAGTGCCTCTCCTGTAGCTACGACCCCGGCAGCGCCTAAGACACGCGGCGCCTCATAAGGCCATGGGTTGAACTCTGCGATGTGGGGCAGTGCTCTGCCCTCAGAGAACCCTTCCCGCAGACGGACAGCAAACGCTGCCGTACGCTTAGCGCAGAGTGCAGGGCTCACTGCTTCAATCAGGTCTTCCCTGGCAACTAACACAAGAAAAAACGCTTGGTAATATTAATATTGCAAAAGTATTAAGGTCAGTAGCCTTTGAGAAGAACTCATGGAAACAGTACTGACTTTTGAAATGATATCTAGAGATTCTGTTGATAGAGTTGTCATGGATGGTGCTATTAACAATGCCCTCAAGAGTCATTACTTTTCTGACAGCCAAAGTCAAACCTTAAAATGGTTGTTCCCAGCTGACGGCTTTACAAGAGGGTTTGTAAGAGCCTCTGCTGCTTTGTAGAATTGTCAGAACTTCAGAAAAACAAGACTAAAGCATAATATTGCTGGCCAGTGCATGCTCAGTAATACTGCTTCTGTTCCAACAAAAGTTAGGAATGACTCTGCAAAATCCAAGAATCGGAAGTACTTGTGCCCATGCTCTATCTATCTACCCTGGCAATACAGGAACATGATCTCTAAATTCAGTGGCATGCCACCCGACAGTGTCTGGAATAAACTGAGCAGTGAGCTCACATCTAACATGATGCAAGATCTTTTAAGTGGTCCCCCAGAATAACACTCACATTGTGCTCAAGGGCTCTAGAGGGAGCAATAGGCTTGTAAACTATGGCCCCTGGGAGCGATTGAGAGGAACCAAGGGGGAGAGAAAATGAATCCCAGGTGACAACACAGTCACATGAAGCTGCTGTGCGCTGCTTTAGTCATCCCTACACTGTGTCATGGCCAGATGGATCTGGGAGTGAGAAGGCATGCTTAAAATACGAGTGACTCCATGCAAATGTCAGAGCACAGAAAAACAAGAGACAGGGAAGACTCCCAGGCAGGACAGACGGCCTAGCTAGCCTACAACCGTGATTTGCATGCATGCGCATGCGCACGCTTTAAATACTGGCAGACACGAGTGGAAAATGAGGACAGCCAAATTTCAGAGAAGACAGGCCACATCTTAATCCTGTCACTTTTAATCCATGCTTTTTTCTGAGGCAAAAAGATCATCTTCAGCTACTGAAGCTTCATCTAAATGATGACAGAATAAAAATGGAGTTAAGGCTTCATAAGCTGGTCCGCATGGAGGGCAGGAAGAAGGGCAGGCCAACAGAAGATGCGGTTACACTTACTACTCTTACATTACTGGTCACAGACGTGTCATTAGGTTTTTTTGTTGGTGTTTTTTTTTATCATTACAAGTAAATTATTAGATAAAAAGGAAAAAGGGAAAGGAGCCAAGAATGCTTGTGCTGACAAGGACAAAACGTAGGGATGGAAAAAATACAATATGTAACACAAAAATACAATACAAATAATATTACAGACATTTCTATGGTATTAGTGAGAGTTTCAGGTCCTAGCAAAGAACGACTATTATACTACTTTTTTATCCACTTTCTACATTTCAGTAGTAATGTACTTACTTTTATTAAACCATGCTAAATGATCGATTTTATATATCTTTACAGTTTCTCACAACATACTCCTGGCTATCTGCCAAAGTACAGATTTCTACTGCATTTTAATAATATATCTGACTATATCTCTAGGAAGGTTATAATGCG